AGGAGGAGGAGGAGGAGGAGGAGGAGGAGGAGGAGGAGGAGGAGGAGGGGGAGGAGGAGGGGAGGAGGAGGAGGAGAGGAGGAGGAGGAGGAGGAGGAGGAGGAGGAGGAGGAGGAGGAGGAGGAGGAGGAGGAGGAGTGTACCGCGTGCCGTGTGCACGTGCCGTGCTGCGCCGTGTCCATGCCGGGCCGTGTGTGTGTGTGTGTGTGCCGTGCCGCGTGGGCCCAGTAAGCTTCGAGGGCTCCGAGCCTCCATGCACGATGCATGTCTGACTCTCTCTCGCCCTCCCTCCGCTTCCTCCGTAGCCAGAGCCCCGAATCATCAGGGGTAACTCGGGTCAGGGCTAACTCGGGTTCGTTTTTCGGGATTCCGAACCCGAGTTACCCCAGACCCGAGTTACCCCGGATAACTCGGGCGTCCAGAGCCCCACATCATCAGGGGTAACTCGGGTCAGGGCTAACTCGGGTTCGTTTTTTCGGGAATCCAAACCCGAGTTGCCCCGGACCCGAGTTAGCCCGGATAACTCAGGCGCCCAACGTAGCCAGAAGCTGTTGGCCCGATATCGTACGCTTATGCCGCCGACTCTTCGCGGAGGGCTCGGCTGAGCGAGCCGGCCATGGCGCTCTCCGCGCTCCGCGCCGTGGCCTGCGCGAGTGCGCTCGGCGCCTCCGCGGTGTCGCTGTCGCAGCCAGAGGGGCTGAGCCTGGGCCAGGGCACCGAGGAGAACCCGCTCCGCACTGCGGCGGAGCGGCTCATTGGCGCTGCCAGGGGCCGCTCCGAAGCGAAGGCCAGAGGAGAAACGAGTTTCTGATGCCCCTGCCCCTGCTTCGTTTTCGCCCTGCTGGGGGGGGCCTCGTGGGAGGCCCTGTCGCCACGGCTGGATTCGCTTCGAAATCCTGAGCGGGGCGCACCTGGGGAAGAGGTCTGGGTAGCAGCGGTATCGGTACCTTGTTGGGTTTTCCCAGGACCGGGGCGGCAGGCAGGGTCCTAGGCTGGTGCCGGCGGGGAACAGGACCGGGTGGATGGATTGAAGGGCGCCGAGCCCAGTTCCCTCTGGCGCCGCGACGAAATCATGGCGGCCGGTGTTTTAGGCTCTTGGCATCTGGAGGCTCGTGTCGGGTCCCGAGGTGGTAAAAGAAATGGTCCGTGATGGAATCAGACGCAGTCCAGAGGCCTGGAGGCCCATGTCACGAACATGCCATGGATTCGAATGGAGGATGACGATTAATAAATGACCCGGGGGTCGTGTTCACGCGGCGGCGCCCGGGATGACGATTAGAAAAAAACCGGCCGCGGGCTGGAAGACTATGTTTTTAATTGTTCTCCTCCAGTCAGAAAATTGTGCAGAAATAGCAGAAAACTATGTTTTAAATCGTTCTCTCCCCTTTTTTATTAATCGTCATCCCGCAGTAATATTTGGGTAGGCGCCGAAAGGTGCGATTGGCTCAGCGGGGTGGGTGAGGTGGACGCCGGCCGCATTTGCCCAGTCATCGCCGATCGGGAATCGGGTGCCCGATCCTACACAACAACGCCCGGTTTGCCTGTCGGGGGCTCATCGGTAATCTATCGGGGATATACAGTCGGGGCCCTGAGGAAGGAACCTTTTTCGTTGGGGAGGGGCTCGGTGTTCCTTGTTTGTTTCACAGCTTGCCTCAGGCTTTCCTGATGTTTTCGACAGGAAATCGAAGGTTAACTTGTGGAAAAAAGGGCCTCGTTCCGTATTTAGGGTTCCTTAGGTCAACGCCCCGACTGTACCCCCCACTGAGGCAGGCCGCCCCCAAGTCGGCTTCCCTCAGGACCCGGTGGATGGGCGGCGGAGCCGAGAAGGAGGTAGAAGAAGTCCAGGGTGGCCCGGTCCTGCCAGCGGACCTCGCGATGTGGAAGCGCGGCCCTCTGAGCTCGGATGCCAGGGATTTCCACCACGCAGATGTCAGGAGCCTCGTCGGCAATTACAGCCTGAGCATCACCACGTTCAGCAGCTTGGAAGACAAGAGTATCTCTGGTGAGCTTCTTGCCGGGAACGGCTGGGAGACGAACCGCGTCTCGAAGCTGTGCCGCGTGTACCGAGAGAACGGCGCCGTCGGCAATTTCCTCGACGTCGGCGCGAACATCGGCACCTACACCATGCCGCTGGCGGACTGCCTTCGGGGCAGCGGCCGGGTGTTTTCCGTGGAGGGTATGCCGCCGACGGCAGACCACCTCGTCCAGGGTATCAGGGACAACAAGCTGGATAACGTTGACGTCTACACGTACGCCGTGGGCGCGCCCAGCGATCCGAGTAACGTTTGGAGGAGGGCGAAAAGTAGGAGACACATCTCTCTTTCTCTCTCTCTCTCTCTTTGGTGTTGTTCTTTCTCTCTCTCTCTCTCTCCCACACACTCGAGAGTGAGAGGGAGTGAGAGAGAGAGGTAGAGAGGTAAAAAGAGAGAGAGAGAGAGAGAGAGAGAGAAACGGAAAAAACGAGAGATCACACAGGCGGCTGAGAGGCCGATTCTCCCCGTAGCCTTTCCAGCCGCCCGAGGACGGACGTCCCCCGATACAGATGCGTGGCGTTCGCTCCACAGTGCTTGCAGTGAGAGGCAACTACCTTGGGCTCTTAAGGGCTGGCCCTGTCTGCCTTGCTTTTTTTCTGGTGGCCGCTTTGCTGCCCTGGCCCCCCCCCCCCAAGCTGGCCCTGCCTACCACTATTTCCAAGGGTTTGCTTGGCGTCCTGTGACTCCGCCCACGCTTGCCCTGCCTGCCCGCTTTTCGATGGTCGCTGGGCTTTGTGTGGCTTCCCACCCGCCCGCCCACTGTCGCTGTCCGTTGCACCTGCCGCTGGCCGCGTGGCTTCCCTCGGCTTCCCCCCCCCCGCACTGGCACCGTCCGTTGCACCTTCAGCTTCGGGTTGCCGCCTGGAGTCCGATGGCTTCCTGTGTATTCCCATCGCTCCCCCTCCCGCTGTCACTGCCTGTCGTGGTGTCCGATGCCCGCTCGGCTTTCAAGGGTTTCTTGATCGATTGATTCACACATAGCTCCAACCCCCAGATGATAGAGCCTCCCCCCGTAACCTCTTTATCCACGGGGTTGAAATTGGTTAAATTGCCATTGCAGGCGGGGAGGCCGAACTTGATTATCCGCACCAGAATTCGCATCTTAGCTCTGATCTCCTTCTAGACATCATCTTTGAATTTTTGTTGTTTCCTCATCGTCAAAGAGGCCGTCTAGAAGAATCGTGGAGGCTCGTGAAGACCGATCTTGAAGACGGATCCAGACACACTCTTTTTGATATCTTTGGGAAAGCAGTATTATCCTGCCTGGGCCCCGATCTTTCTTACCCCCAGGGGATTATTCGCACCAGCGTGGGGTCACTGGGCTCCACACATGATCCCGCGCGTCTTGTTGCGTGGGCCAGCTCTCGCAGAGTCTCTGCGGTCGGTTCCGCCGACCCAGGAAGGAATGAGGGCACGGGAGCAAGTGTAAATGCGGGGATATTTGATGGTCTGTTTTTTGGATCTCTCGGTGTGGCTTTTTCGGTGCCCTTTTGTACCTTTGGAGCCTATTGAGGCTTCCTTTGGGCCTCTCTGTCGCCTCTGCGGGGCCTGTTGGGTGCGTCTTGGGAGCTTGCTCGTGGTCTGGGGGGGCATCTTGGGAGGGAGGGCTCCAGAGTCACCTCTGTGAAATTCATCCTCTGGGGATCTTCATGGGGCGCTGCTTGGAACCCAGAGGACCTCATCGGAGATCATGTGCAGTCTCGGGGTGGTCTTGCGAGCCTTTGGACAGTCTTGGACGCTGGTAAAGCCTAATATGTGAGAATGTGAAAATGCTTGAGAGAGCGTGATCCACCGCCGGTTTACTGTGGAAAATTCCCTCCCCTCTTCCTTTGGAGCCCAGGGGTCCCCCCCCCTTCAAAAATCCCCCTCCCCCCTTCCCCCGGCAACCCCTTCCCCCTTCCCTCTTCCGGAAAATCCGCGGGGGGGTCACTACCGGTCGGCACACACCCCCCCATCCAGAAATCCGGGGGGGGTCACTGCCGATTCGAACCCCCCCCCCCTCACCGCTGGCAAACGACTCCCGGGTCCCCACCACCGTCCGCACCACATCCCCCACCGCTGTCCCCAGCACCACCGTCCCCACCACCACTGTCCCCACTTTTCCAATCACCGTCCCTACTGTCCCCACCAGTGCCTCCACCACTGTCGCACTGTCCCGACTGTCCCCACCACTGTTCCCACCACGGTCCCACTCTTCCCACTTTCCCCCCGGTCCCCACCACTGCTCCGCCGCTGTCCCACTGAGCTGTCCCACTGTCCCCACCACTGTCCCCACTGTCCCCACCACTGTCCCCACTATTACCCTGTCCCATAGTCCCACCACCGTCCTCACCGCCGCCCTCACCATTGTCCCCACCACCACCGTCCCTACCACTGTCCCCCTGTCCCCACTGTCCCCACCACTGTCCCACTGTCCCCACACCACTGTCCCCACCACTCGTCCCCACCACTATCCCAGTGTCTCCACCACTGTCCAAGTGTCCCCACTGTTCCCACCATTGTCTTTGCTGTCCCCACCAGTGCCCCCACCAGTGTCTTGCTGTCCCCACTGTCCCCACCAGTGTCCCACCACGGTCCCACTCTCCCGATTTTCCCCACTGTCCCCACCACTGTCCCATTGTCCACACTGTTTTCACCATTGTCCCACTGTCCCCACTGTCCCCGCTGTCCCCGCCGCTGTCCCACTGTTCTGTCCCATGGTCCCCACTTTCCCCACCACCGTCCCACTGTCCTCCCTGTCCCCACCACTCTCCCCACTTGTACCATTGTCCCACCACCGTCCCCACCCCACCGCCTTCACCACTGTCCCCACCACTACCGTCCCCACCACTGTCCCCACTGTCCCCACCAAACCTCTCGCTGTCTCCTCACCACTGTCCCCACCACCACCGTCCCCACCACTGTCCCAGTGTCCCCACCACTGTCCCACTGTCCCTCTGTCCACACACCACTGTCCCCACCACCGTCCTCACCACAGTCCCAGTGTCCCCACCACTGTCCCATTGTCCCGAGGAGCGGGAATGGTTTGCCGGCGGCGAGGGGGGTGGTTCGAACCGGTAGTGACCCCCCCCTTTTCATGATCGACGGAGGGGGGGAGGGGGGGGTCGAACCGGTAGTGACCCTCCCCGGTTTTCCGCCAGCAGCGGTAGAACGCGCTCTTTCGCATGTTTAATCATGGAAATGTGAGACAATGTTGGGCTCCTGGTCTGGCCCCTAGGGCCCCTTGGGACCAGTTTAGATTTTAGGGCATACTCGATGTTTGGATGCCGAACAGCCCCACGTGCCAGCCCAGGGCCAAAGGGGGACGGCAAGTCAAGAGGGGGTCTCTCCCCTGGGACATCTCCCCCAGGCCCCCCACCCCACCGGACAGGAAAGGGCCGATTTCGACGTTGCTTGGTTGTCCTTGGACTGTCGCGCCTGAGGAAAAGGGCCCAAGGTGGCCACAATCAAAGAGTGGAAGAGTTACAAATGAAATTGCCCCTCGCAAACAGCGACAAGAGTCGGTGGATTTGGGGTCAACGCATTGGCATCGTTTGATCACTCCTCCGACAGGTGACGCTGTGCTTCAACCCTGTCAACAAGGGCGGCACCACCGTCAAGGGCGTCAAGCCGTTCACTGAGATGAGCGACGCCCAGTTGCAGGATCTGTTCCACCCGAACAAGAAAAAGAGACAGCAGAATCGTACAGAGAATGTAAGTGTCGTTGAGTTCCGCGTGCCTCTGACTACCGGCGACCGCATGCTCAAGCACAATCCAGGGATGAAGGCCCTCATGATGGCCAAAGTCGATATCGAGGGTTACGAGGGCCACTTCCTCAAGGGCTCCCAGCGCCTCTTCTCCAAATACCCCCCGTGCGTCTTGACCATCGAGATGTTTCCGGAGTGGCTGGAGGCTGCCGGCACCCCGCCGATTGACATCCTCGTTCTATTGGACACGTGGGGCTACAAGGACGTCCCCACCGACGACGGGCTCTCGAAGCTGAAAACCCAGGGCAGGACCCTGACCATCCAGCAGGCGGACATGGAGACGTGCGTGGCGCGCGTGCGAAAGTACGCTGGCCCAGAGGACCCGGACGTCGAGGAGGCCCGCATGGAGGAGGTTGCACGGGCGAGCGCCACGGAAATCCCCCGTCCAGAGGCAAAGGAGAAGCGTGGACTCTTGACCCGGGCGCGGGACATGCTGCGCCCGCCCGCGAGGGCCGCCTGAGCGGTGAATCTTACGCATGGTGGGCGGAGGAGGCGGCTGAAGAGGGAGAAGAGGAGGGGGAGGAGGCGGAGGAGGATTGAGGCGAAGGACGAGACCGGGGCGGAGGGGTGGAGAGGATGGATGATCGTTGCGTGATTTTCGACCCCGATCGAACCGCCGGGCTGGTCTGGGAGGTCGCCGCGGCGGTCGCGGCGGCCACAAATCGGGGCAACGCTTTTGTCAAGGAGTGGCATGCCCCTTCCCAGCCTGCCCCCTGCTGTGGTGCGATGCGGATGTGGCTCATGAGTAATGAGATAGCGACAGAGAGTTGTCATTTGATGTCCAACATGGGCGGTCGCATTTCTTTGGTCAGGGCTCGAGTTGATTTCGTCACTTCCCCGCGTGCCTACGCTGTGCACAGTCACATACCCGTAGCCATTTGGGCTCAAGTTGTGTGGTGGTTGCGATTGCAAAGGGCGTCCCGCCCGCCCTGCGCGTGCCCGCCTGGTCGGCCGGGTCTCGTCGTCGCTTTAGCTACCAAAGCTAAACGGACACTGTACACGCTTTTCGCCATGGCAACAAGGCGTACATCACCAATCCACAAGATGAGCTTGAGCAAGGGACTGTTACAGGAAGAACATGGAGAATCACAGCTACACTATGAACATGAACACATGTTGCCTATCAATTGGGATATGGACCCCCCCATTTTAATCGAGAGTCGGCAACATATTGGTTTTCAGCCGGAAGCTCGCGCCGCCACTGCAGACCCACCTACAATGAAAACGCTGTTGTAAAGGCCGCCACACAAGGACTCCCTGTGTAAAGGCTGCTACAACAGGATTCCAAGTGTGCAGGCCACTGCAGATTCCCCTCGCTTGGAATCCTTGTGTAAGGTCGGCACACAAACAATGCGCTTGTAGAGGCTGCTACACAAGGATTTTAAGTGCGGAGCGTCTGCACTACAAAAGTATCGTCAATCACGGGTTCTCCTTGTTCTTTATTGTTTCCCTTGTGCAAACACAAGTTTTTTTTATGTTTGTCATGGTTCTCCTGTTTTCCCCTTTGAACTTTTCTGGGTTCAAGGTGCCGCCTCTGCTGATCCTCCACAGTGGACATGTTTTCCCTAAGGCCGCCATGCATTTTTTGTTTTCGTTCGCGACAAGCTGTTGCAAAAAAAGGCTTCGAATTCTGAAGGCCACCGCATATCCCCCACATTTAAACAATATTTGTGCAAGGTCGTTACAAAAGGAATCCGTTGTTTTAACGGTTGCTACACACA